TGTTTGCTTGTGAATCCCTGCAAAGTCATGGTAACATGAACAGGAGTCCCCCTATCAATCCACCAAGAACTTAATGGGACATTAACAAAATTGGATTCAAAACAAACAAAGGCTAGTAATTACCTTCTTCTTTATTCTTTTTTTCTAACCAAGACTTGAATCGAGTGCACTTACTTTTCTTATGACCTCGTTTTTTACAAAAGTAACATTTGACATCTTTTCGAATGACAACCTTAAGACCTCCTAGATTCTGACCAGTACCATGCCTTTTGAAATTCCGACCATTCTTTGGAACATTATGATTAGGTTTTTTATTATTTTCCTGATACCCACTTTTGAAACTAGATTTAGGCTAAGAAACAAAACAAGACAGTTTCACTCTTTTCTTTTCTAATTTTTTCTTCCTCAGAATCACACTTGGAGATAAGGTCATTTATTGTCCAAGACTCAGTTTGGGTATTGTAGGCAGTTTTGATTTGGTTAAACTCAGGAAACAAAGAATTAAGAGTGTGATGAACAATAAAATCATCAAGAATAACAATTTTGAAGGTTTTGAGCTTGATTTGAACATAGACTATTCTAAGGATATTCTCTAACACCACCTACATTGTCATATTTTATACTCGTTAATTCATTCATTAGACTCCTAGCTTCAGTCTTGTTGGATACCTTGTATCTCTCTCCTACAACGGTGAACAACTCCTTTACATTCTTAGTTTCAGGCAAGCCATTCATAAGGTGTTCAGAGATAAAGCTTTTCATGGCAACCATACTCAGCCTATTAAATTTCTCTCAGTTTGCATAAAGTTCTTTTTCATGAGGAGAATTCTCACTAGTAGGTTTAGTAGTTTCATTCTCTTTCAAGACAAAGTCTATATCAGCAATTTTCAAGGCAAACTCAATATCTTGTTTTCATCTCTTATAATTAGAATCAGTTAAGACTTCAATGTTGACATTATTACTATTCACAACAAAAAAAATTATACAAGACAACGAGACTATAAACAATTAGCAAATTGGGCAATAAATAAAATAAAATATGCTTTGAACATAATAAGTCATATTTTATTAAAAGAATTCAAATATCTCACTACAAACTCTCCTTTGGACAGAGAATACAATATGTTATAGGTCCCCTCTTTCATGAAACTAACTAATAAGAATGCTCAAGTTTTGAAAAATTTATCCCATTTGGACAGATAAACCTTCTACACTAGTGCGCCTTTATCACAATGTTTTATGACATCTCCAAATTACAACACACAACAACCTCCTTTGGGCAGGTAATTGTATATTATAATTTAGAGACAATCCCGTAACAAAAGCATGAAAAAAACTATAAATTTTAATAAATAGACCACTTTGGTGGCAACCATCTATCTTAATTCATAGAAATTCTCAAATTGGGATATTATAATAAATTGTCCTTAATTAAACATCATGTGATCAATCAATATGAGGTACTAATCAATATGTATCTTTTTAGATCACTACTCATCAATCGTTGCATTCAGGTCTCAATTATATTTTTACTTTTGAAAATTTAGTAATTAAATTCAAATCTACCAACATTAATAATAATATGTAGATTATAAAAAATTTCATCATATAAATTACTAGGGACTAAAATTAAAATTGTACTAACACCCTCTACAAATTATAACAATTCAATCTAAGCTACATAAGCATGAGAGAAAAAATCATTTGTATGGATAAATTATATATCTATTCGTTAACAAGACCCATAAATAACTAATAGGTATTAATAAGTTGACCGAATATATGACATAATCAAATAAAATAGCAACCCCACCATTTAATATAACACAACAATTGAACAAAACAGTTGTATACAATTTGTAGAGAAGAATAAAGAATAATAAAAAAAAAAGTTATAACTTTTCTCTTGTGACATACTAGCAGCCATCACGATTCTTGCAACTTTTTTTTTCTTCTTCTTGTGACCTACTGGCGCTATCCAAGATGCTTTCACACTTTTTTTTTTTTTTTTTATTGTCTATAGCAATTAATTTTTCAACAAACAGGCATATTACATTCAAAAAAAATTTCAGTGAATGCTTGCTGCTTTTGCCTACTGTGTCAACGCCTGTATGTGAGCCATGGCTATTGAAGAAATTTAGAACACTTAAATTACAAGGTTTAGAATATATCTGTATAATCCTTGATACACGATTTTCAAATTTCTTTCTTGAAATGACAAGATCTTCCTCTTCTTCTTCAAAGCAATAGACGCCTCTCAATGAGACAAATCAAATTAGAGTTATGAAATGAAGATGTGACCTAGCTTGTTATTTATAATAAAATCTAATGGGCTCACCCATTACGGACTACAATTAGATTAAGGTTTACACTTAATCACTTCAACCACATCAATTAAAAGATGTACATAAGTCTATTAAAATAAATTATTTAATAATATTAGACTCATCTCATTGAATCATAAATTTTACCTATTTTTTACAAACGAAAATTAATTATCAATCAATGACAGTCCAATATACAAAAAAAAATTCCAACCTAGGATACTACAGGGGCCAACGACTGCAAGGATGTTCTTGGGTCTGGTGAGGTTTGGTTTAATGATGCTTGACTCGTTGATTACCTTCTCGGTCCAAGGATACCCGGGGATTTGGTTTGTTTGATGGGCCCCATCTTGATATACGTCTTGCGTCTTCTGGTGATTGGTCTGTCAACTCATGTCTCATCATAAACTATTTTGAATATAACCAATTTTGTTGAAACAAAATATGTACCCGATAATTATATGCGTTTTTGTGTCAGCTTTACAGATCAGGTTAAGGATTGCCACCCACCATTATCAACCCATCAAACTTGTAAAAAAAAAAAGAAAAAAAGAAAAAAAAATTGAGAATTTATCTGTATATATAACGGATTTTAGGAACTAACCTCATTCCTCAGTGGAAAAGAAAACTTCGTCCGAACCTGATCACAAGTATTTCTAACACTTAGATGATGGATATCTGTATATATAATCTTAAAAATGGAACTCAAAGTATACAAATATAAATAATTTATTAAGCAATTAAAAATGCATAACATTAAACTTTCTTCATTCTTCCCTTCAGTTTAATTATGCGAGATCACAACTTCTATTAAGAAATAGCCCTAAGGGTCCATTTGTTTAGTAAGATAATGTTAAATAAAAGAAAGAAAAAATTTTAAAATTTTACATGCGTTTGCTTAGTATGAAATAGATTTTCTCACATCTAACGAACTTTTTTTTCTTACAAAAAACACAAGAAAAAAATAATAAAGTTGTGTTCAATAACTTTATTTCTCATTTTCCTTTTGTTTTTCTTAAATTATTCAATTAGTTATTAATTTTAAAAAAAATATGTACAAATTAGGCTAATCATATAATTTGGTTTAGAGATTAAGGTTGAAGTCAATCTTTGTTCTTGAAGGAGCCAATTTTTTTAAAATTTGAATAATAAAAAATATTTTTTTCTTCTTTAAACCGAGTTAAAATAATTAAGGATAATTTAAACAATTAGAAAATTTTTTTATAACTTTTTTTTTTTTAAACAATGGAATGAGATTGTTTTAAAATTTTCTTAGAAATTTTTCATGCTAAACCAAATACATGTATGAAAATATATTTTCTTTCATTTCAGTTTTTATCTCTTTCTCTTTCCATTATTTTTTTTGTTATGAATCAAACAGACCCTTAGATATCAATCTCTTTTACTAATTTTTTTTCAATTTTAAAAAATTCAAAAATAGATCATCTATCATTTATGGTCGAAAGACTCATTCATAAATAATGGGTGTGTGTTTTACCCTTAAATAAATTTAAAGATGTCACTCCTATTACCTTTATCCTTGAAGTCCATGTGTTAATGGAGGAGACATAATAAATCGTGGTCAACCTATTGAGCTGACCTGACCTGACCTGGACCGGGCTTGCTTCCAGACAAATCATAAGCAAGCCCGTTTGATTGTACTTTGTTCATTTCTTCATTTAATAGGGTCCAATGGGCCATGGACTTGCCACAGAATTAGACATTTTTTTCTTCAATTTTGCTAATAAGTTGATTACTTGGATATTTAATTTACGGAAACCTATGAGTGGCGAATCTAGTTATTAAAAATGAAAGGTATCTTAGTCCTGAAAAAACCCAAAATGACACGATACTATAGGGCTCAATAGACATTCTACTTGCTGCACCAAGCTCTATAAATTAGCCATTGATTAGATGGTCTCCACACTTCTCTAAAGTTTGAGTTTTATGTTAATTTTTTTTATTGACATTACTTGTTTTTCTCAATTTAATAAGTTTTGATTAATTGGGTCTCCAAAAAATAGCTTTAAGATCCATATTTTTTACGCAATGTCTTAAAATTCCTTGTCAGTTGTCTCGATTAAGCCGAAATTACTAGTGATATGGTTTAACTTACTGATTTAGTCTCATAGAATATGCATAGAAGAGGTGTATACTTATGAAAGGGAAAGGGAACACAATTGGAGAAACCAACAAAAGTATGAATGCAGAGCAGTTCAATTCTGTTTAGATTACATTAAGTATTTGTCTACTTTCAAAAGTGATGTAATCAACAGCAGCCACAACCACAAGTCTTCCATTGAGACACAAGAACACCAGATTATATCCAAGTGGTTAAGTTTAGAAATGTTATTCAAGACCAACTAAATAAAATTTAGTCCCAAAAAACAAATCAAATGAATTATGGTACAAAAAAGGTCACAAATGTTACATGATTGATTAGTTGCTATTACACACACCACGGAAGCTATGTATAAAAGAAAGAGTTGGTTGTATAAAGCAACTAAAAATATGAATTTCACACCCTCTACCAAGAAAGAAGGGCAAGACTACACTCAACTGTTGCTTCACAAAAGTCCCGGCCGCTGAAAATTTTACTTTTGCCGGGTAACACATTATAAGTTTGAGGTACTGACCTTGCAAATTCAATGGGTTGCAAGTTTCCCCACTATCCACCTATCCACCTATCCACCTCCAAACACCACCAGAACTTTGTCTCTGGACTGGTGCAGCACGCTCCATATCACGTTCCAATGCAGATTTCTGTCTCCGGAGTAATTGAACCTCTTGCTCTATGGACGGCATTGACTCCAGCGTCTTCTGTAGCTCTGAGATCTGTGCCTGAGGACACAATTGTCAATCAAGAAAAGAAAATCAATTATCTCACACCAAATGAACAAAAAAAAGTCGAAGTTCAAATAAAAATGTGAAAACGCTAACCCATTCCCAACATTCAGCACAGGGATAAAGTAAAGTAGTCCCCCTTGTTTGGTTTGTCTTTTTGGTCCCGGGGGGGAGCCGGACACAATAATATACCGGCCTGGTATCCACAGTGGCCTAAAACCCGTGTAACAGAACACACAGGGGAGGTGGTATAAAATTCATCAAATGACCATAATAGGCCCAATATATCTGTATATATATTTAAAAATACATATCTGTGGCTTCTCTCACTAACCCAAGCCCTAGCATCGTCCCTATGAAAGAGGAGAGGTCCAAGTCAAAAAAGAAGGAGACTATCAAGCAATTTGCAGTTTGAAGCTTGGCAAGATCACCTCCGGCGATATCCACAATCTACCCAGTGGTTCTGACCAATAGGTATTGTTTTTTAAATTTTGAATGGTATCGTAGCTGTGATAGGAGTCCAAGTAACACATGTTCCTGTTTGAATTTGTAAAGATAAAAAAAAAAAAAAAAACTCTTTTTGGATGAGGTATTTTACCTTATTTATATTTATTTTGCACTCATTCATTTTTGGATCAGATTTTAAGATTTCAGGCACAACAATGCTCGGGGCTCTTTTCAAGATAATGTGGATGGGCTAAATTGCGGAGTGAGAGGAGCCATTCAATGTGGATCATCAGCATTTTGTTACTGTAAACTGAAGGGTACTGTAATACAATTTTTTGTTGTATGATAGTATGGGGGCCATCAAAGGAGAATTGATTGAGAATTGAAGGATATTTAAGTTAAATGATATTTTACAGGAAGTAAAGATTCCTTTCTGGACATCCACACATACTAAATCATTGATCCAAACAAGGGATTGGAAAATAATCTAGACTAATCCGAGATTGAAGCCAGTCGGAATGGATTGCTTTGGATTAGATGGTACAACCCTACATCTCTTTATCTGTGAAACAAGCATGCCCTTGGCTCACTTAGCTACTACAAGAGAGAATAAAAAAAGGGAAATACCTCCAGTTTAGCACATCTTGATCTCTCAGCTACCAGTTGCCCTTGAACAGATTGGAGTTCCTGCAGCAAAAAGTGATATTGATTACAAGGTTGATCTTTGAATGGTTGACAATTACTAATTACCAATCTATCATAGTTAGCATACCTTGGACAATTCAGCATAAGTATTCTTAGTTTCATCAATCTTAGCCATGAGATCAGAATTTTCTGATTTGACTTCAGCAAGTGATGATTCCAACACCTTTTTCTCCTCTCTAATTGCATTGATTTCAGCTGAAAGATCCCGCTGGAAGCTATTAACTTGGACTAACTTAGGATTTGAATCTTCTAGGTGGGTAAAGTCCAACTTTTCAGATTTGGTTAGGGCATATGCAGCAGTAACAGAAGCTGCTGCTGCTGCGGCAGCTGGTGATTGAAAAATCTTGGGTTGTGCAGAGTCCCTTGGTTTGGGCCTCATAACAAATACCTAGAATTCCAGGGCATACAGAAACCATATCAGAGAATGCAATGATGAACTGAACTGAAATATCAGGAAAAAGAAAGATTGTCCATACTGGAAATCCAGACCAAAAAATAAATAACTAAAGGAACATTGAAGCATCAGTTTGTAAAAATTATGAAAAATACTAACAAAAATTAATGTCAGGCGTACAAAACATCAGGGGATATAGCACAAATCAGAACATTACACGAAAATAGAACCTTACATCAACATAGATGCATGTAAGACAACTCTGTCAGATATTCAAAAGCAGTCTTCTGTGAAGCAAAATTGGTTTGATTTTCCTATCATTTCAAACAATTCTTCCAAAGCAGTGCTTCCGTGAAGCAAAACTGATTTCATTCTTTTACTATGTTAAACTCCATGTGCTGCAATTTTCCCTTGCTATTATATTTGTATTATCATGATGTTTTTTACAAGAAAAGCATCTTAAGCTACCTAAACTGTTTAATGTAATTTATCTGTCAGTTAAAATGACTCCATGTCATAAGAGGAACTATGGTAGGACAAGAATGGGAGGTACATAAACAGTTTCCTTCTTTTAGTAGGAAATAGACAAGAATAGAGGGAGAAAAGTATAAAAAACACTCGGGGAAACTGAAGCCGATGGTGTTGCGAGGTTTTTCCAAATCTATTCTGAGCAAAGATCTATTCTGACTATGGTCACTAAAAATAATAATGTCTCTTGAGGCAATTTGCCAGTTTATAGTGGTTGGCCATTGGTTCTGAGTAATCAAGTCACATCAGATAACAAAATTTTGATTCCCAGCTGAATATCTGTACTTCAAAATAAATTAACTTCAGTTGGAATAATGGTGGTACTAGCATCAAAAGCATTATGCACTCTGATCATATTAAATACAACAGTATTACAGCTGGTTATCAAGCTTCAAATCAATAGTCAGTAGTCTCATATTATATGGCAGAGCTATTTAACATTGTTCAAAGGTAAGCTAGGCATGATAAACATTTTCGCCATGTGAAAACCGATAGTGATTCGAGTCTTTAACCTTGTATTGCAAATCATAAAAAACCCTTCACATAAAAGTTGGGCATATTAAACATTTTCACACTGGTTTTCCTAAGTGGTGGTATTAAGGTAGACAAACTTTATGTCATCACTAACAAGCACAGGAAGCACAAGAAGCACAAGTTTCTTTTTACCCGATTAATCATCATATACTATAAATCCAAGTTCTCCAAATTTCACTAAGATGTAGTGACTTGATTTCAAGATTCATCTGGAGCAGCCTTACAAGGAGCAATGGACTATGTGGTAAGATTCTGTCAGGACTGGGCATGGGATTGATCCATATACAGGTTCACAAACAAGTTGCATAATAGAAGCATTATACAGGGATTTCATTGTTTGTTAATTTATTTATGCATCACAAACGCAACCATCTAAAACCAATCAGGTAATCTATCTTCCTAACAACCTTGTATTGTCTGTGCATGTACAATCTAGTTTATATAACTGCTTCCTATTGGACTTCATCAAAGTGATTCCATATTTAAATCATTCAATTTCTGGTAAATAGAATTGGATGCATGGATAACTCGTACCAAATATATCCATCACCCTAAGAAAAAAAAAGTAGAAAGTCTGATATTAATAACTACCACAAACACCACAACAATTAGAATGGCAACAGAATCATAACAATAAGACTACGACACCGCCAACAATGAGAACATCGATTCATATAAATCCTTTCCTGAATCAAATACTGTACTTTAAGGAAAATGGTAAATGATATACACTAGACAGTCATTTAGATGCCTTACCCAAGGAACTAGTCAAAACCTCCTTTAAAAAATGTTTAATTTTCTAAATGCATTCCAACATTCCCCTTTAGAAAAAGATAAATGGCATAGAATATATGTACTATCATAAACCTTCTCCAGTTTAAATTCCATTAGTTAAATAAAAGGGTAACATGAGTAGAAGATAGTACATTTAGCTGAGATAGCTAATGAAAAATGGCAATTCTATGGATCAAGCACAATAAGATTGATGAAAGTTTTGATTAGGCACAATCAAAACAAGGATATTTTTAAGATATTATTGATGTGAAAAATTGAGCAATGGCAGCACCATGTCATATCTCATGCAAAAAAAAAAAAAAACATTTATCAACTCACCCAAAAAGCCAACTTATTGTTTCTCCTATATCTTCAATCATTTACATGCTCATACCATTTCTTTGAATTTTTTATGTACTTGCTCACAAATGTAAAATTTAAATAGAATTTATTTTTATGATAAACAAAATCATGGAGTTCATTAGATAAAAAACAGTAATGCTACAAGATACCTCATTATTATATTTTCCGTTGTAGCCACCAAAGGCAACCAAAATATTCTCGCTCTCCACAAGTGCTGAGCAGACACTGAGCCCCTGTTTCCAGTGTGCAGATATAACGTATTCACAACACAGAAATGCATACGTATTATAATAATATAATATTTTATACTCATGAATAAGAATGTTTATAAAATAAAAAGCCCTGGAATAAAATAAAACTACCAACATAAACATTGATTATTAACAAAAATGAAAGCGTTAAATATTAATTCCTCTATAGTCCACAAATTTATTGAAACTAGAAATAACATTGCGAAAAAAAGACACACTACAGGCTGGCAGCAAAAGAAAATGTGCATTTGTATGATTCAAATGTAAACACAACCCAATAAAATATTAACCATTCCAAATTTCTGTAAAGAGTCGCTAAGATAAATTTAGACATCTTCGACCAGTTGTAGCCAAAGGCAGAGACATCATTCACATAAGGTGATGCCCAAGGTCTAAGATTTTGATCAAGAAATCAAAACTTTGACCCAAATCGCCATTCATCTTGAACCAAGCTTCAATAAATATCTTGAACCCTTTTTTCCCCTTAAATTGCCATTTATTTCCAACAATTTGAAAATTGTCGTCCTATCCAACCTATAGGTTTTTTCTAACAAATTTAATCTCTCTGAATTTCAAAAAATGTTCCATTAAATTAAATATTTGTTTGGAAAATATAATTTCTTTTTCTTGAATTCTTCTTCATCATTTGTGTGTTCTTCTCACTCTCTTCATAAGCTACACTTATAGTGCAAAAGAAATTATGTCTTCTCAATCCAAGTAAGCTCCAGGAATTGAAACTGTATGATGCTCCACTATCGAAAAAACCGCGTTGTCTCCCAGAGAAGTTTAACATGATCGACAAGAAGGAAATTTAAGAACATGTTCATGGTGAGCTCCTACAATAAGACAACATGATATAATCATCGTTCATTAGATGTATGACTCCAAGGGATGGTCTACTATGCTAAGTTGATATAATTGTTTAAAGAAATACCTCAACCTTCATAGCCAGATCTAAATTATTGGCATACCCCTTGAAAGAAAAAATTATGACTTAGTAACTATACCCCAACATAGAAGCATTAACGGGATTGTTGGAATGCAATGTACCACAATGAATTTAAAAAGTATAGACCAACCCTTAAAAAAGAAACAAAACTTGGGAGGAAAATAGATTTCAGACGATGGACGTTTCAATCAGATGGGTCCACCTGGCAATCCTAAAACGAGGATGTACAAGTGCAAAATTCTTTCCATGTTCACTTCTATGGAATTGAACATGGGAGTAAGCATCATATATTGTTGCTCAAGATAGTGAATATAGCCGTCAAATCTGGAGATTGGTCATTACTAATACCAAATCATTCACAGAGTACGTAGTTGTGCCAGAAACCAGTAACATAAGACAGAGGACTATTTTTAATCATTTCCACAAAAGAATCCCTTCCCCCAGCATTGATCTGCCTTTCTGCACCAACTAAATCATTCATGAAAAATAGAAAATTTTGGAATTGACATAAGCAACATTGCAAGCGACACGAAGTGGGGATAAAACAGGAAACCAATAATAGATTGTTTCCATGAAAAGGACCCAACAACGTGTTTATGAAAAAAAATCATATGCTTCCTGATTCTTCAGAAGGTCAATATATACTGAGGCACGTCAAAAAAGACCACCTGACACACTGCCAACAGAAATATGTGGTATAACAAAAATCCTGCATAAAATGCCTGGGAACAGTTGATATGAAATTCACTAAACAATGAGAAGCTATTGAGTGTAGTGTAACTGATCCATGATGATGTAAAGAGTCAAACTTTTCAGCATGTGGATGTAAAAATAAGGTGAGGGCGACCCCAACAAGTTGGCAACAAGGGATTCAAATGACCATAAACAGCTAGGGATCGCTTCGTAGTGGAGCTTGTTCAAGTTAATTCAATCATAAAATGAACCAAGCTTGAGTTATCAGTTGGTGAAATCAAACAAATGCAGTCAAAAAAACTAAAGATATTACATGTTAATGCCCTCAAAGTATTATTCTGTTTCTAGGAAATTGCAATAAAAAAAACGCAAAAAGAAGGGAACAGAATGGTAACCTCACTGGCTAACGGATCTCTTCCCTTTATACTTGTCAAGACTGACAAGGCAAGCTTAGACATATTTAACATGAGAGTTTCTGTGGCACCTGCAAACCGCAGTCAATAATGCCATACAGAAGTTACTGATGAAACCTAGAAGAATGCATAATCACATCAAATAACATAACAGAAATCAACCATCACAAGTATCTACATACCACTTTTATTATCTCCACCACCAACTATGTACCAGTTTTCATCAATGGTGACACCAGCATGACCTGCCCTTGAAGTCACCAAATCACCTTTAATTTCGGGCTGGGACCATTCCATCTGCAATATATGGGGGATAATATTGTGCTATAAGATGAAGTACAATACTGGAAGTTCACTAACCAGAAAAAAAGTAAGTTCTAGAAAAATTACAAAGGTAACTTTATAATAATATGCAAAAAAAAAAAAAATAGTATGCCAATGCCTGATTTTGCAGAACACATCATCCAGCAGAATTACTCAAGACAGTAAATGGAGTATACGTTCGACACATACAATTGACATCAAACTTTTTGACACAAGTTTTTTTTGACACTTAAGAGAAACATAATTGTAACGCCTCAAATTTTGCAAAACACGTTAGTTAGTAAGAAAATCATTTGATCCAAAAATCCTCACTGATTTACAACTATTTTCTCAGAAAACAAGCATTTGCTTCAATAAAACTCATCTCTCAAAATATGGTGGAGTCTGGTTTGAAAATTGTGCATTCAACAGAATGGCAAGAGCAAACTTGTGAGAGCATTACATATATAAGTCTAACTAAAGATCCATCCACCGCAGTAGTAATGCTAGCTCATATGAGTTAAGAACTTATATATACCAATTAAAACCAAAATCCTCCCATCATAGTCAAAGTCTACAATCCAAAACTCAAGTACGAAAGTGATCCATAAATTTCAACGGAAAGCTACAACCCTAAAATTTGGTAGCATAATTTGGATTATAAATGAGCAACTAAATAACTAAGCATCTAATCCTCAAGTCTCGGGCTCTCCATCACACATCCTGATCAATCTCAAGGAACCTTATAATTTGCATCTACCCATGTCTTGGCATCATGCCCAAATCTGAAAAATATCAAATAAGGGGTGAACTCAACTAGCCTGATAGGAAATCCTTTCTCAAAAACTTTTCATACCAAGAAGCAAAGAACATCAAATATCCGGCACACATGAGTGCTGCACATATATTGTTAAATATTGTTAAGTCCAATCAATCAAGTAACCATCCCCCGGAAGCTTTAGGGAGAACTAGCGATGGGAATTCTATGGTGCCACAAAGGCCACCAACGTTATCCAAATACCATTAACCATTTCTCCCAACCAAGGACTAGTAGAAATTCTGTGAACTTTGTATGGTCCAATCATCTACTGACACCAGGGTTCAAAGTGTTGACCGATTCTGATACGATTCGGCCGAGTTGTATCCGCTTCGGCTCTCGATATAAATTTTGTTTCGGTGCATTATTTCGGTCACCTAAGAAACATAAACGTTTCAACCCGTTTCGAAAGCATTTCGACCACTTTCGAAAACAAAATGGAAGCAAATAAAAAAAATTGAGAATTATTTTTCCAAAACATTTGTCGAAATATATCAAAGTATCTTGAAACACCTTGAAAAATTCTGAAATAATTATGTAAATCCGACAAAACATTACAAAATACTTCGAAATATTATAAAATACCTCGACGTATTAAAATTTTGATTCCATTATTGATTTGTTTCGATCTCCTTGAAAACAAAAATATTTTAGTAGTTCCAACCGTTTCAAAACCCATTACACAAATAATACAAGTCACACTTGAATCAATATGAATTCGGTCACAAATCGAACAACTCGTCCACACTCGGAGTCATTTTGCTGGAATCGGACGATTTGTAACCGAATCGAACGATACATCCAAAAAACGCAAAAGCAAGACGTACAAAGAGAAGAAAAGCATGAGACCCACACCCTAATTCACCAATTTCATGCAATTATTGAACTCTCAATACATAGACTTTGCAAATTGTACAAACAAAAGATTGAATTGGATGATTTCATAACATAAACCCATATAATCCAAGATATTGTAGTGAATACATATTACTAGGAGTCCCATCTGTTAGAGCGTTCAACTCAAAATCAATTGGCAACGAGTATAATGACCTCTCAAGTATATAAAGTAATATTTGTGGTCCTAATTATTCAATATGAAATACAAACTCCCTTAACACCCTCCCTCGTGTGGACCCAGACTCACACGTGGGGGTCAACAAACAAATAAACAGTCATGCATACCAGGAAATTCAAATGGGTAAGAGACTTGACCCACTAACCACCTGAAGCCTAGATCTGATACTATGTTAGAGTATCTAACACAAAATCAATTGAAAATGAGTGGAGTGATCCCTCGAGTATATAAACCGACCTTAGTGGTCCAAATATTCAAAATGGAATACAAGCTCTCTAAACACCATCTTCTTCTTCTTCTTCATGCAGATGTCGATGCTCCACTGGCCAAACGATGTCGCATTGCCTCTTCTTCTCCATCTCGCCGATGGCATCAAAGAGACGAATCTCTCATCTCTCTTATCTTCTCTTTTCTTCTCTCCCTTTCTATCTCTCTCAAACCTATTGGTAAAAAGGGTCAAAAGAATTTGTCCATATTCTAATAGTGTTGGTGGGTTTTTTATATTCTTATTTCAAGGGCTAATGTTGTCAAAATATTTTGGGTAGGTGAAGTGTTTGGTGCTAAATATATTGTTATAATATCTATATAATAAAGTAGAGCAGATTTTCAATTCTGAAACTTATCTCAAGCTTTTCACGTTTCAAATTAATTCAAAATAAAAAAGATTAAATATTGTGAACGACGTTATCCTAACTTATCTCAAGATATTGACGTCTCAAATCACTTTAAAATTGTTGATCCGACACATCAAATAAAGTTCCAAATTATTTTTCCCACATAAATTTTTTTATTTTTGGATCCCTCAATCACGCTCTCTCACTACCACCTTACCATCGTAAACCCTCGCCACCCTACCCCACCGCACCGAAGTATCTTTGCCTCCCTCTTCTCCATCTATATTCCTACATCTCTCTGCCCCCAACCTCCACCAAGCAACACCATCACTCAAAAATTGGGTATTGCTTTGGGTTTTTAGTTGTCATCAATTTTGGTGCGATTGAAAATTTGGGCATGATTAGATAAGCAATGAGTTGAAATTTTGGTGTGATTTGGCTTTGAGTGTGTAGTTCGGCTTTGAGTGTGTGGTTCATGTAGTTGTTCATAATGGGAGTGATGGTCGTGGTTCTTTTTGCCATTTGAGTGGGTGTTTTGATCTCATGTACCGCTGTCACTCTCTCCCTGTTACTCTCATTATCTCTTCTCCCTCGATCTTCTCTCCAAATCCCAAATAATCATCGTCTCCGAAGGTGACCTCACAAACCCTAACCCGAGATCATCTCTAGCCTCTAAAATGAATCCTTATCCATATCGGCTCTCTCCATAACATCCCCACGAACAACCTTGAATTCTCCTTTAACCACTCCAGTCGTTAGATGATGGTGTATCTTATTTCATATTCATCGTGTGTAGTAGCTTTTCATTAGGAACTTGATAAATATTTTGGAAGGAATCATTGATTATATTTTGTTGAGATTGGACATGATTTTTATTCATTTTATTAGGTAGGACACATGGGATGGAAATGCAAGCAACAAACACCTAGAATGAAAGGTAAATCCAACCTAAATTCAATCCTGTCTTACATGCTTTTATCTGTTCCTATGATGTCTCAATTTCTACTTTCTTGATTTTCCTTCCTATATGTTACCTTTCACTGTTGTTATATTTTTGTTACTTAAATGAAACATAATTGGCCAAGTTCAAAGGCATTCTAACTCTTTAAGAATTTTGAGAAATTGTATACATGTCGATAACGGCCACTCTAGGAATGTTTGCACATTTGGTAATATGGAGAGAGAGAGAGAGAGAGAGAGAGAGAGAGAGAACAAGGGGTTCAGTAGCAAAGAAGGGTTATATTTAGTCCATATGTCAGATGATTTTATGTGATTTATCCTGATTTTACATAGCTTGTCTATATTTTATAAGATTTAAATGATTTTTTCCCTCTGATTTTCTTTCTTTGCAGTTGAAGTTGCACTTCTGTGACTGGGAATGTATTGTCGTCTTCTTCCTATGGACATATGAATGCCTTTTGATGGTCTCCTCTACTTTAATTGATATGGTTGAGTTTCCTTCTGATTTGCTTTTGTTACAATCACTCTTGAGATATTGGGGTTATTCTATGTCATAGAAATGTATTGTTGTATTATTCCTTTGATATTTTCTGAACTGGGTGTTCTCAGTTTAAATTGATTTACTTATGTTTCCTTCTGATTTGGTGTCAACTTGAGTTGCTGATTTTTTTTTGGTTTTGTGTGATTTGGTGATTTGCGATGGTAATCGTGATTTTTCATTTGAACTTCACATGAGGCACTTTCAAGAGAAAGAGAGAGAGCAGATCAGCTACTATCTATGAGGAAAAAATATAATCTCTTACTCTCTTCTTTACCTTCTTTTATTATACTACACATGTGCTGATTTCTATGTTCATTCATATACTGTCTTAGACTCTCAATTAGAAATTCAATTTACAGATAAAGACATGATCATATCTTATAATTTTACTTATAGGTAAGTCCAACAGTAATCTTTTTTTTATTGAAAGAAAAAAACAATAAGCTTTTTTCATTATACAAAGATCATTTCTAGGTTTTAGTTTTTACACATGCAATATTTTTTGCTCTTCCAAAGGTTCTTTTAAATGACTTTGAATTGAGATGATATCTTTTGGGTTCTTGATTCATGCATTTTATATTGATTTTAATGTTTTTGGCTACTGGTCTAAAATTTTAGGATTGAATTTGTAGGAATAAAGAAACTGTTGTGACCTCCAATTTGGACATTGAGGAGCCCCAAGACCATGGGCAGAGGGAGGTAGGGGCCAGGGTGGGCACATGCCCCCCCTCAATTTTTTTTTTTA